TTGGTGATGGGAAACCCACGGGGATTACAATTGAGATGGAAAAAAAAAATGTACAAAATGATGTAAAAAAAATTTTTTTGCAAAAAAAAAAAATACATTATCTCCAAGATGGAGTTTTTCTTTACTGACAGTTGGTGTTCCTTGTAGTTCTGGCTTGAGGGCCAGTTTCTGTCTCTTCCCTGGGATAGTTAGTATCAGTCCTTTTACATTTAATTTAAATTAGGCAGAAGGTGCTTAATAGCTCAAATAACCAATATTTGCTTTTGTTGTCAACAGGTATTTTGAAAATAAATGAAGATCTATGAGTACCATAAAGTAGTTTATATTGTTAGTTTTCACACAAGCAAAGGAAATCTCAGGTCAGTTTCTGTTGATATTATATCACAGATTTTCTCTCTTACTTTTAATGAAAATTGTAACATTGAAATGTATACAGTATACAGTAAAAAAAGGTTTAGACCTTAAACCTTTTAAACTCCTTATACACTAATGTAGAATTATATCTGATTAGTTTTTAAATATACACATACCCACATCAAGATTTTTTTTTTAATTTATTTTATTTACACACACAAGAACTGGGGTACAGACCAGTGGTGTGTGGAGGTGAGGGATTCACCAGAGACAGAGTGGGGAGCAGAACAGGCAGATTGAAATACACTGCTGAGGGGAGCAGCAGGTGAGACAGGAGAGGTCTGCTGTGCCATGCAGGTTAGCCCCCTGGCTGGGGATTGAACTCGTGTTACAGTGGCTGCAGATAACCTCATAGTGCTGCACTTTCACCCCTTGTGCTACCAGGCAGTACCCATATCAAGATTTTAATTCATGGACTTGAAGACTGATGCTTCTACTTTTTACTATTGCAAATAGTCATGAGTTTTCTTCCACATGTCTGTATAGTGGAAGTGTTACAGGGTAACCCAATGTCTTACTGAAAGTTCCCTTTGTATAGGACGTTACCATTTACTCCATATTGTTCATGCAGAACATTTCATTTAATCTTATACATAGACACACACACACACAATCTTTGAAGCAGGAATGGGTGTACTGTTAGAAACAAAAAAAAGACAAACTCAAAATAATCACCAACGCACCCGCCCACATCCACCTACTAAGCAGCCTGTTCAATAATTATTTGTGCTTATTTTTGCTTATTTCTGAGACGATCCTTTACCCCTTTTGTGGATAGTTTGAAATTTGTGATGAATATTCTGACCGTTGCTATGGTTTCCTGCCTCCAGAATTTATTATGCTTATTATATTGGCTAGGTTTCTTAACTTCAGCCCAGTGGCCATTTTGTGCTGGGTAATTCTTCACTGGGGGGGG